CAGGTCAGAGAATGGAAGAGAAGAGGGTGAGGCCCCGCAGAATTGGAAAAATACAGGAGAATATCTAGGTGGGCCTTGGGGAGACAGACCTATGGAGGTCTCTGAGATTGAAAGCTAAGGACAGAAATGTGTGGAGAGAACCAAACTCCCTCTATTAATTTTTTAAAAATATGTTTTTATTGATTTCAGAGAGAGAGGAAGAGAGGGAGAGAGACATCAGTGATGAGAATCATCCATCGGCTGCCTTCTGCACGCCCCCTACTGGGGAGATTGAAACCTAGGCATGTGCCCTGACCGGGAATCCAACCATGACCTCCTGGTTCGTGGGTCCACACTCAACCACCAAGCCACACTGACCGGGTAAACCAAACCCCCTTGAGCAGGAGACAACAAGGAGCTAGCTGAATAAGGCAGTCAGAGCCAGCAGAGATGGAGGGCACAACCTCTGGAGCAGCCACTCCTTTGCACAGGAGCAGCGCGCTCACCTGGGCCAAATGGCCACTTTTCTGGGAGGCTGGGTAAGGGAGAGCCCCTGGAGAAAATAGGACTGGACAGCACTTCAAGTCCCTTCCCACCATGAGCTCCTAAGGGACTCCAACCCCCCACCCTGCGAACCCCCCAACCCTCTGTGAAGGATATGTGGCGGGGGTAGCGGCGGAGTGGGGACACCATTCTTCGGGGATCTCGCTGCACCCGTTCCACCAGCCCATGGTGCCGAGTGTTCCGGGATGAATCCAAAGGTGAGTGGAGGGGGCTCTGCCAAAACACAGAGGTGAGTCGATGGGGGAGCTGCTGAGGAGCCTGCACTGGCCTGAGGCTGGTGTCCACTCACCTGGAACTCGGCCAAGCCACAGCCAATCTGGTTCACATTGGGCAGAGAACCTCCGTAATGGGAGTTCCTTGTGTACGCCAGTCGCAGTTTTTGGGCCTGTAACTGAAACATGAAAGGCAAATGGGAACGTCAGGCAGGGGCCTGAGTACTGTTCCTATTCTGTGGCCACTCTTACCTTCCCTGTCTCCAGGACAGGCTACTATTGGTGCTGCTTTGAAGAGATTTGCCAGAAGAAGAAGAAAAAAAAATGGTGCTGGGGAAAAGCTCCACTGAGACCAGGTGTGAACAACCTGCCCCAGCTCTTCTGCAGGCTGCCCGCATCAATGACATCACCCATGCCTGGCATCAAACACCCTGCCAAGCACAGAGCCTGACACTCTGCTCAGTTGTCATCAGTCCAAACAGAGTCCCTGGCAGGTTGCCAGGAGCCCCCAGCTAGTCACATGGGAAGAGGTGCCTATTAGGCACCCTGCTTTCCCTTCCAGATGTGTCCCAGAGTGATTGGCAAATGAGGGAAAGGCCACAGGTGGATGCCACAGAGACCAGCCTTTTCCTGTGGCTTCTGGGCTCTGCCATTTGCCCAGCCTCAAGAAGGCTACACAGAGCCTGCACCTCCTAAATGAGAACATCGAAGGAATAATGGCTCACGTAGCTGTATACACAGGGCCAAAACCAAGGCACACTCTTCTACTTAGTTGTAAGGCCCCGGAACAGGCAGGAAAGCCTGCAGAATGGGAATGGGAGAGGGAACAGTAGTCCACTCTAGTCTGGGCCAGAGCCATCTCCCTAGCCGCACCCTCACTGTGGGGAGATAAGTCTGGCACTGGAGCGAGACACCACATCCCTCAGCCTGGCATGGTTTTAGTCCGGCTACAGATCTCGTGTCCCTCTGTGAGTGGTGAGCACCTACTTCTGAGACTCAACCGCGGTCAACAGCCAAATAAAAAGACCCAGGGCAGCTGAGGAGGAGCAAATTCTACGAGCTTCTGGGACATACCGTTGTGCATAGGCTACCCTCAGGACTTTCTGCCCCAGGAGGTCAGCCCAGTGAGTTTAGTGGGCACTATGCTGAACTTCGGACCAGGGCTGCCTCTCTCTCTCTCTCTCTCTCTCTCTCTCTCTCTCGAGAACCCCAGCCTCCAAGCAGTATAGGCCGCATGGCCACATCTGCCTCAGATGAGCCCTCCCAGCTAGCCAAATAACAGGCTTACGCTCCTGGGTTCCCAGGCTCTGGCCGAGTATGCCCACGGGAACCTTACGTGCAGCAGAGAAGTGACCCCGCAGGGGCAAGGTGGGTAGAAGGGGGCCTTTTGACAGACCAAGACACTACAAAGATAGATGGCCCGGCTTTGAGTGTCTCACAAGCCTGTCTTTGTTTGCACACACAAGCCCTAAGATCCTACCAAGCTCTGCGGGAGTCACAGTCCAGAAGGCAGGGCCTCAAGCTGTCAGCTAGAGATCATCAGCCTCTCGCCCACCTTCTTGCCTCTGCCCCACCGTGACCAAAAGCTGCTAAAGGGGAGCAGTCAACAGGCAGACCATGATCCTCGTGGCAGTTAGCAGGGGTTAGGCACACACACACAAGATTTGCCTCCCCACCTATCTCGTTTCTGTCTCCCACAAACTAGGGCACATGGTCTCTAGAGACTCAAAGGGGAAACAAACATGAAAAAGACTAAGAGAGTGGAGGGAGAGACACACAAAAATAAAACCAGAGTCAGTCCTAGACAGATGCAATCTCAGTCAAATCAGGAGAAAGAGCTTTGAAATGTGGTATTTATGTTCCACCATCTCCCCTTAAATTCCTTCTAGCTCCCTGCCAGGAGGGAATCCTACAATGTTCTCCTAGCCTGCTGTTTTGAGAACAATGCCTCCCTAAATTAGGGCTGCATACCAGCTGGGCGAACTCCCACCCCTCACTCCCTCAGCAAGAAATCAAGGCCAGAGACTCGGTTTCAGAGGCAACTCTGCCAGGATGCCTTTTTTCTGGCTCTTCTAGGAATTACTATTCCCTCCACATAGAGGACCCTCCAAGCCAACCCGTAACTGACCCACAAAGCAGCCATCTCCTCAGAGAGCCCAGCAGACCATCAGATTCCACACAACCTATAGCCACCGGCTCCCGATTTCAGGATTCAAAGCCCTGCCTCTCCTCCAAGGCGGCCACCACGGCAAAACACCACGCACCAGCCTGTGAGCAATGGACCTCACCTTCATTCACGTCAGGAAACCACAAGAAGCGTTTGAAAAAGGAAGCAAAGGGACGGGACGCAGGAGGGGACTTCCTGCTCCACTATACCCAGCGCCGCTGTTCAAACCGCTCCAGGGGCCCTTTCCCAGGGGGACTGAGGTGCCCGGTGGCCAAGAGGGCAGGAGGACCAGAGTGGAGGAGATTGCCAACCGAAGAGACAGAGCAGGGCAAGCTGACCATCCCCCAACCCACACCCCAACCACCCGGGGATGCTCGGGCAGAATCCCGGAGGGGACTCCATCAGAGATGCACAATGACCACCCCGCTCCGCCGGTTCCAGGGAACGGTCTCCTCCCTCCTCCCTCTCCTTACCCACTTAGCCCCCCGTCCTTCCCAAACTCCCAATCTCACCGGTGTTTCGGCCTCCTTAACGCCCCCCTCCCCCGCAAAATCCGTCTTCCTGCCCCCCCGGCCCGCAGCCCGCGCATCCCAGAC